AGCTTTTCAATTTTTAGACCTGGAAAACCCCCTGATGGAAGTGTTACTGACAGTTGAATTCAGGGCCTCACACCTGCTAAGCAAATGCTCCACCACTGAGCTATATTCCCAGCCTGCTGAAACCTTCTTGCTTCCATTTTGCACAAGATGGATTTTTCTGCCTGAAATGTTGGCTTTGCCCAGTGAAGTCTTAAAAATAGTTTCTTGAAGAAGGTTCCCCTTCTCTAGTATATGTGCTGCTGAAGTGAGCACTCCCCTTCTCTAGATTGTTTTGTTTTGCTTTTTTGGTACTAGGGATCGAACTCAGAACCCTGTGCTTGTGAGGCAGGCAGCAGAGCTACTAAGCTAAATCCCAAGCCCTGTTTTTCTATTAAGTACTCTCATGATGGTATGTGAGTATAGCTCAGTGGTAGAATGCTTGCCTAGCATGAGCAAGACTCTGTTTGATCTTTAATATTAAAGTAATGATATCCTGTACGTCATTTAAAAATTATGTAATTAGTTGTTAAGGATGGAATCTTTTTATACAGGTAGGTTGGTCATTTAACTACTGGTATTTCTTACAGTGCTTTGCAAAATAGTGGATACTCTTTAAAATATTCATGGAGTTAATAAAATCAGACCTTTAATTTTTTAAATTTTGGATTGTGTAAAGTATGATAAATGAAATCCAGAACTTGAAATTTTAATGGAATAATATTACTGTAATTGGATGGGCTATTATTTCTTGATTCTAAATCTAGAACAGCAATGTCCATTTTATTAGCTACTGGCCATGTTGGACTTCTTTCTCTTGGGTTTTAAAAAATAATTATTTTTTAAAGGGTATAGTTCAGTGCTTTTTATAATATTCATAAAGTTGTATAGCCATCACCACTTTTTTTTTCCACCACCACTATTAGTACATTTTCAACAGCACCAGAAGAAACTTGCATATCTATTAACAAGCCCTTTCCATTTCCCACTTTGCTAGTTTCTTCCCCCCACCACTTCTCTAGTTTCTTAGCAACCAATAATCTATTTTCCATATGTCTGGATTTGCCTGTCACATATGGCTTTTAAGTACTCGGAATGTGGACAGTCTGAATTGAAATTTGCTAAATTTTAAATTATACACTGGATTTCAAAGTCTTAGTACTAAAATATGGAAAATACTTTAGAAAATTTAATTATGTTAAGATGATAATATTTTAATATCTGTTGGGGCCAATAAGACATTATTAAAGTAATATCTTGAGGGTTATTTTTGTTGTTGTTGTTGTTTGTGTTACCAGGTATCAAACACAGGACCTTGTGCTTGTAAGGCAGGCGCAGCACCACTGAGCTAAATCCCTGGCCTTTGAGGTTTTTTCTACTCTTTTTAACATACTTACCAGAAAATTTTAAAATTCATTTAAGGCTTTACATTTTATTTCTGCTAGACAGCTCTTGGTATAGCTCATTTGTGGTAAAGATTTTAAGTGCATTTCCATGCCCTGGTTTCCCATGATCTTCTCTATCGTTTAGTTTTTGTGTCAGCTCTGGTTTAGGAATGATACGAGCTCAGAGTCTCAGAATTAAAAACAAAAACCCATCTATCGACTGTAGAGATGTAACTCATTGGGCAAGTGCTTGCCTTGCGTGTGGGAGACACTGGTTTCATAAATCTTCAGTGTCAGTAACAAACAGCATTTAGGATGTAGAAATTTTTTTATTTCTTGCCTTTCAGTAGTATTGGAAATATAACTCATATTACATTTTGAGGAGTGGGGATTTAGCACAGTGGTGCCACTACCTGCCTTGCAAGCACAAGGTCCTGAGTTTGATCTCTAGCACCAAGAAAAACCCCAGTAAACCTCAGGATGAAAATCACTTTGGTGTTCAGTTACCTCTCTATTAAATTTTGAGAAAATAATGGCAACTGTTAGACTTCTTAAACACTTACAGTATTTGCATAATAATTTGGCGCAGTATCCCTAAATTTTGAAAGGAGTTGTGACTTGCTTGGGAAACTAATTTCTTTAAACCATATAAGAATTACCTATAACTTTGGGGGTATTTATAATTATATTTGTCTTATCTGAAATTTGAACTTAAATGTTTTTAGAAGATTTTCAGAATAAATATAAGTGAAATAGTCCTTTTTAAAAATACATTTGTAGGGGCCAGGGATTTAGCTCAGTGGTGCTGCCCCCTGCTTGCAAAGTCCTGAGTTTAATCCCCAGTACCCCCCAAAAAAAATTTGTAGCTGGGTATGGTGGCACATACCTGTAATCCTAGCACTCAGGAGACTGAGGCAGGAGAATTGCTGTGAGTTTCAGGCCAGCCTGAACTACATAGGAAACCCTGTATTTTTTTTTTTTTTAAGTATTTGTGTAAAAAGTTTCTGCTCCAACATCATTAACAAAAGTCATAAATGTACTCTGTATTTAGCATTTACTCTGGCAGGCACTGCTCTGTATATTATACTAATTCATTAAATTCACAAATAAACCCTTAATACTATAACCCTTAGCTGACAGGATGAGTCTGAGGCACAAATTGGTTAATTAACTAATCCAAGGTCACAGAGCTAAGTTTTTTATTTATTTTGTGAGACAGGGTCTTACTATGTAGTTCAGCCTGGCCTTGAACTCACTGTGCAGCCCAGGCTGGCCTGGAACTCAGAACAATCCTCTTGCCTCAGCCTTCCAAGTTCTGGGATTACAAGCATGTGTCACTATATCTGGCTTTAGAGCTACTAAATTGTAACAGGAAAAATAACAATATACTTTATACTTGGTTTAATATATAGTAAAAACTCTTGTTTTTTGTTTTTTTAAGTTTTTAACCATTAGAATGTAAACTATAATAGGGCAGGGACTTTTTGTTCACTCACATTTGAGATTATTTTCTGGCATGTGGTAGAACTGGATTTAAGTTAATTTTCTTTTTTTTTTCATGTGGAGGATTGAACCCAGAGCCTCATGCATGCCAAACTCGGGCTGTACTACTTACACCCCCAGCCTAAAACTGCTTAAAATTCTGTACTTTCCTATGAGCAATAATGTACATTCTTGGGCTGGAGATTTATTGTTTGTTTGTTTGTTTGTTTGTTTGTTTGTTTTTTGGTACCCGGGACTCAACTCAGGACCTTTAACTTGCAAGGCAGGCAATGGAACCACTTGGCTAAATCCCCAGCCTATAGCCCCTTTTGTTTTGATTGGGTTCTTGCTAAATTGCTATAACGGTTCAAACTTCGAGTCTTCCTGCCTCAGCCTCTTGAGTAGCTAGGATTGTAGGTGTGCCACTGTACTCAGCTGTTTGTTATATATTAATAAAATAGTTCATGTAAAAATTATTAGGAGATACAACTTCTATTCTCTTGCATTTATGAAATAGAAATACTTTGTGACCCAAAGGAGTGTCAGAATAGACAAGACTAGTAGAATTTGCTGATTTAGAAGAAAGTCTAGGAAAAAACCAGCTTTGAATTATCTTCACCAAAAGTGCCATAACACAATTCTTCAAGAGTTCACCCAAAAACTTCAGCCTCCTTAGTGTGTCACAGTCATTAAAGTGAATAACGTTGTTTCATTTATTTTTGGAAATTAACTTTCCTTGGCAGTGGAACTGTGAAATAAGTTTATAAAATAGTGCTTTGAAATCAAAGGTTTTATAGTGATGTTAGGCAAAGGTTATATAACTCCTGTATAGAATACGCATTTAATTCTGAGATAAGTATGCTCAGTAATAACACTGATTAGATGTTAAGTGACATATGTGAATTAACACCACAGTTAAGTGACAGTATCTCACTTGTTGCTCAGGTTAGGCTCCAATGTGACAGTGCTGGAATAAGTCCAATGCTAGAATCTGGCTGTTGTGAGTCCTAAGCTGGTTTTTTAAGTTAGTTTGTGAAGGCAGTAAGATTGGAGTTTTAGGTGATTAAATTAAATTATAATTGTTGCTTGATAGAAAAATTGACCTGTGAAAAATCCTTGTGTTTAACTTGCCATTTTCTTCTTTTCTTGTTACCTGCAGATAGTGACTCGATCTAAACCACTGTAGCCTGCTTTTTTATTAATGGCATTATCATAGTAATGATATTTTTCTTGAGCTGATTCGGTAAATTTTTCATACACTAATATGTTCTTCAGAGTAAACAGGATCAGTTTTTCTCTGAATTATAATTTTGGGGTGATATAACTAGAAATAGGGCAGAAATATAAAAATTGCTAATTTAGCTTTTTACTAACAAATTTGTAGCAGTTCCAGAAAACTTTTCTAATCTTTGTCTTTTCTGCACCAAAATTTTGTCTAATCAGGTTCTTAGTATCCTAACGTTAGTTACTTAACTGCTTTTTAGAAGAGAGATTGGAAAGCTGTAGAGATCTTGGAAAGCGAAGGTGATGTGCATGATCTAATTATACTTGTTTTATTTAGAAATCTTGGGAAGGTGATACAGAAGTCTGCAGTTAATACTTATGACTTCATTTTTATTTTTTTTCCTTTTGATTTTTTTTTTTTTTTTAAGATGGGCCCACTATGTAGTTCAGGTTGGGATTAAACTCAATATTTAGTCCATACTGGCCTGCAATTTGAAGTGATCCACCTACCTTAGCCTCTGGAGTGCTACGATTATAGGCATGCTCTACTAAGCCTGTCCCCAGAAGTCAAAGATTTTAAGATTGCTTGCTTGCTTGCTTGCTTTCCCTCTTTCTTACTCTCTCTGACTCCCTCCCTCCCTTCCTGCTTGCCAGGCACCATTGAGTTTAATCCCCAGCCCTTAAGACCGTTTTGTTTTTGTTTTGTTTTGTTTTGTTTTGTTTTGTTTTGTTTTGTTTTGTTTCCTGTCTCCACTAAGTTTATTGGTACATTTTTGGTGCACAATGTGATGACATTCATCATTGGGTTAAGATCATTGTTTTTACATTGTTTTCAGCCAGTAAGCAAGTTTAAGAAGATGGTATTAAAAGCCAAAATGTTTACTGTTGAAGTTTTCTACAACGTATTCTTTCATAAAGATAGATGTTTTGTGTCAGTTGAGTAGAAATATGGAATCCTTACAAGAAGTAAGAACATAATTTATGCTACTGATTAAGTTTTAAAATTGTTTAAGGTACCAGAACTCTTGAATGGACTGTCCTAGGATTAAAAGGTTAAAAGGGGTATTATAAATATTGCAAGTACTTTTAGAAGCATTAAGCACAAAAGAAGTAGATGTAGGTAAAACTAAAATATGTTTGAGAAAGTGGGTGGTTGCCATTGAAGCTATCTAAGCAGAAAAAAAAGACATTAGAAGAGCCTCATCAGGCCTTTAGGCTTTGGGAAGTGCCATAGATAGAAGGGAAAATTAATTAGATCTGCCTAGAGCTTTTGCCATCCTAGTGGGTGATGTAGTATTTCAATCAGTTACCCTAAACATTTAGAGTTATGATTTGTTCGAGTGAAAGCTTATGGCCTAAATGGCTTTTAATGACCATGAATTTCTATTGATATGGACGGAACCCAAGCTACTTGGGTTCCGTCCATATCTCATTGTTCAGCGATACTTTATTACTTTTGTGTATCACTTTGGCTTAACATACATGGAGTTGACCAACATAAAATGAGTACTAGTTTTCTCTAATAACATTCCTATAAAGTCAACAAGCCATTGTACTGTTTACAGTGGTATTATTTCATTAAAAACATTGAAGTTAAAATTTCTTAATTTCTTTATTTTAAATATTCTTAAAACTGGCTAATTAAGTCCTAGAATAACAGACTTATTTTTCTAGAGCAGATAAGCAAATGTATGAAAGAGGGGGCTTCAAAAATTTTACTAGGTAATATTTTAAAATAGGCTTTTTTTCCTGCTGACATAACTAACATTTATTTTCTGTTTATTTTTAAGACGAGCAAAAATCAAATTAAAGTAGATCTTGTAGATGAGAATTTTACAGAATTAAGAGGAGAAATAGCAGGACCTCCAGACACACCATATGAAGGCAAGTACTTTTTTCTGTATCAAAATATTGTGCGTATTAGAACTTGTCTGAAACATTAAGTCAAAATAATCTTGAGCATCTGTAAATTATATGGACGACAACTTCATATTTGGCTTAAGATATACAGCAATTTAAAAAATAATATATTTAGACACTTACCTACTCTGATCTTATTGAATTTTAGCTAATATTTTTCTTTCCCCAAAACAGATTACGGCACAGTCAAGTTATAGACCATATAGGTTAGAAATTTAACAGAATAAAACATAGAATGTCAAGTCTCTAACTTATACAGACTCAACCTTCATATGGTATTTTTAACAATCCTTGCCTTAAATTTCTGACTGTTGTTTGTGTTTTAAAGCTCCCTTCTTATTTGTCTTATGCCACTTCATTCACTCACATATCTTCATACAGGCTGTAATCCATATATTTGATTTTCTTAGTAAAGCATTGAATGATCATTTTAAGACATATATTAAAGAAAGGAGGCAGCTTTGCTGAATTTCATGTTCACAAATTAAAAATATGTAGCTACTTAACACCATGGAATTGAGGGTGAGATACAGAAAGAAGCTTTGTAACTTTTTAATTTCTCATTATGCTTAAATGAAAATTATTGTACATTTGGGTTTTTATAGCATAACCAAGGTTCTTGCATATAATAGGTACTCAAATATATCAAATATTTATTTAATAGAAAACACAAATAGGGCCGGGGATTTAGCTCAGTGGTGCTACTGCCTGCTTCTCAGGGCATAGTCTTGAGTTCTATCCCCGGTACCAAAAAGAAAGAAGAAAAATGTGTGGTAGCTTTTACTTATAAGAGCATTACTATTTTCTCATTCACTCTTTACTACACATCTTATGAGGTAAGTATAATTATTGTTTCATAGGTGAGGAAATTTAAGCTCAGAGGAGTTAAGTAACTTTATCTAGAGTCAAACATATAAGTGGCATAGCTAGGGTTTGAGTCCTGTTAAATAGCCTTTGATCTAAAAGCCAATGCTTTTAATAATTTCTACTTTTGTGTAAACCAAAATTAAGATAATATTGGAAGTGATATTAGATGTGGCGGTTCTCTAGAATTACAGAATTGTAATGAATAGTTACCCAAAAATTTGCAGGAAAAAAAATCTAGTATCTTCAATATTTTGTTTTCATTCAAAAATGTGAAAACCCTAGAATGTCTTTAGCATGGTCTGGATGCTTTTATGGATACCATTTAATTTAGTCCTTAGTCCTTATGACAGTCCTTTACTATGGATGACACTGCCAGTTACTTTATAAAAATTAAAGTTTTTCTTGAAGTAGTTTTTAAGTTTGTTGTTGTTTTTGAGATAGGGTCTCACTATGTAGTTGGGACTGACTTGGAACTCACTATGTAGCCCAGGCTGGTCTCAAACTCACAGCGATCCTCCTGCTTCAGCCTCCCAAGTTCTGGGATTATAGGCTTATGCCACCATGCCCAGCTAAGATGTATTTTTAAAAGACAGTGGGGCAATAGCATTATCATTTTAGAGCTCTTCCAAGCAAATTTTTCAACAAAAAGTTGTTTCCTGAGCTAAGTATATAAAGAACTCTTCTATTAGCAACTCCTTTAAAAAAGTTGCATAGTATACATTTATTTGTAGAGTAATTACAATATAAATATGCCATGTTCCTTATTGGTTAGATAGAAATAAGGTTGCATATTTTAAGTGCTTATTTTAGCTATTTTTAAATAAATACTTGGATAAGATTAGTTTTGATGTTTTCTGAGTTATGTGCTTGATCTTAAGTTCTGTTAGTTTTTAATCAAAATTTTGCAGTGTTTATTTTGCTTAGGAAAAGCACCATTTAAGGACATAAACTTTTTTCTTTGAAATATGAACATAGATAAATCATGGTGGTATTTATTGCAGGAATCTTGCTTGTGTTGTTGCCATCGTAAACCCAACACCCCCTTGCCCTCCCAAGGATTGAACTCAGGGCCTCACACGTGCTAGGCAAGCACTTTGTCACCAAGCTATGTCCTAGCCAGTTTGGGTTTTTTTGCTTTTCTAGTCTAAAGCAAAAAGTTTTTGTGTGGAAGGTTAATCTGTAACTACTACTGAGTAATGACAAAACCATTTTACATAGTTAAAAACAGATTAAAGCTGCGGATGGTGGCACACACCTGTAATCTCAGTGCTTTGAAAGACTGAGAGAGCCAGGGTTTAGCTCAGAGGTGCCACCACCTGCCTTGCAAAGGTGTCTGTCCTGAGTTTGATCCCTGATACCAAAAAAAAGACAGACAGGACTTTAAGTTTGAGCTCGGCTTGAGCAATTTCATGACTTAGACCCTTTTAAAAATAAAGGACTGGGGATTTAGCTCACTGTCGCTGTACTTGTGTTTCATTCGCAGCACCCCCCATAAATGACTTGGTGGGCTGGGAATGTAGCTTAGTGGTGTACAGTGTGTGGTTTGGCTAATGTGAGGCCCCTAATTTGATTTCCAGTACCAGAAAAATAAAAATAAAGGATTGGGATGTAGTTCAGTGCAGAGGCTCTGGGTTCAGTCCCTAGGCCCCACCTCTACCCTACACCCCCAGTTCAAGAAGTAGCATTACCAATGGAAAAATTGTCACATCACCGTGTTACTTAACTCAGTTTTCTTTTTGTTTTTTTTGAAGCAGGGTCTCACTATGTAGTTGAGACTGACCTACAACTCACTGTGTAGCCCAGGATGGTCTCCAACTCATAGCAGTCCTCATGCCTCAGCCTCCCAAGTGCTAGGATTACAGGCGTGCATCACCACACCTGGTTTAACTTAGTTTTCTTTCTTTTTTTTTTCAACTCAGTTTTCTTAACTTTTTTTTTTTTAATCTTTTGCCTAAACAACTCAGTGTCAATGAAACAGTCCAGGAACAGTTCTTGAGTCTGTCTTCCTAAAAGGCCCCTCCCCCCATTTTGTAAAAACTGTGTGTGTGTGTGTGTGTGTGTGTGTGTGTGTGTGTGTTTAAGCTAAGGTTTCATTATATAGTGCTATATAATTCACTGTGTAAGCTGGGCATGGTGGTGCATGCCTGTAATTCCAGTACTCAGGAGGCTGAGGCAAGAAGATCACTGTAGTTTGAGACCAGCCTGGGCTGCATAGTGAGTTTCAGGTCAGTCTGAACTACGTAGTGAGATCCTGTCTCAAAAAAACAAACAAACAAAAAACTCACTGTGTAGCCCAAGCTAGTCTCGAACTTGCATCACTCCTCATGCCTTAACCTCCCCAGTGCTGGTATCACAGGTGTGTGCTATCACACCTGGCAGAAACATAGTTGATAGTTCAGAAATTCTTACCTGTATCCTATCACCCCTTTGGATTAAATTGAGACCTTTTGAATTTTTAATTCTGAAAACTGTTTTTGAGCCAGCTGCAGTTATATACACTTGTAATCCTAGCTGTTTGGGAAGCTGAGGCAAGAGGTTGACTTGGTCCCCGGATTTCAGGGTCAGCTTGGGTACAGTGAGACTGTCTCACTATACATACATATTTTACAAACATACTTTAGTAGTTTTACGCTGATCAAATACAGTCACTAACATTTTGGCCAGTGACAAACTTGTATCACAGTGGTCCTTTTTAAGATATTTGTTGCCTAGGGCTGGGGATTTAGCTCAGTGGTTCCACCACCTGCCTAGCAAGCACAAGGACCCAAGTTCAATCCCTGGTACCAAAAAAAAAAAAAAAAAAAAAAAAAAAA